GACAAAGGAAGAAAACAGCTTTTATGACACACTGAAGACAAGCAGCTTGTTATTGGTTCAACAAATCTGTACACAAACATAATAATATTATAGAGATAAAAACTAATTTATTCTGTAAATAAAATACCAGACCAGACGTGGGGACCAGGGATAGACCAGAATAGACTAGAGAGAGACCAGGCAGAGACCAGGGAGAGACCAAACTGAGACCAGAGAGAGCCTACTGGTACATGAACTCTGCCTAAATTGTGAGTGTCTGTGTTTTAGTATTAAAGATTGTACAGCATTGTATATACATTGTAAATACAGTCAGGAGTGTAAGCCTATTTTCTGTGGGTCCTGCTTGAGACGTCCTGCTGTGAGACAATAGGTCAGAACAACAGAATGCTTGGAATGCAGAGGGGGAAGGGGTCTGCAATGAACAGTGGCTGAGTGGTTAACATGTATGTTTTTAAGTTGGGTTCAAATCCAGACCTTCTCATTTATTTTTTGTATTGTACAGCCCTTAACCTGTAAAATAAACACCTTGTCATCCTCGTCTCCGCTTGAGGCAGATTTAGATCTTTTGAGAGGAGGAACAACTGGGACACTTTTTTAGCTTTTTGGGCTGCTTATATATATATAATATATATATATATATATATATATATATATATATATATATATATATATATATATATATATATATATATATATAGGCTCTGGGGGATGGGATTCTCAATGTGTGGAGAAAGTAATTAAAGTTTCTACTGTCAACACAGATATATAACACATATACAAAGGATTAAAAAGACTATTTATTGATATGACAAAGGAAGAAAACAGCTTTTATGACACACTGAAGACAAGCAGCTTGTTATTGGTTCAACAAATCTGTACACAAACATAATAATATTATAGAGATAAAAACTAATTTATTCTGTAAATAAAATACCAGACCAGACGTGGGGACCAGAGAGAGAGACCAGACTGAGAACAGAGATATACTAGAGAGAGACCAGAGAGAGTCTGGTCTCGGCGTTGATTTTTAACGAATTTCTGGAGGCTCTCCCTGTATTCCCAGACAAACACGCTTTTGGAGGAAAAAATGACAAAGTGTCTAGCGAGCTCAAGTGCCTTTTGCGCAGGCCGTAACTTTTTTGTCTTTCATTTCCTATGAGTGAAATTCACGGAGGATGTAGCCCAGGTCCGGAGGAGTGCGTGGGTCCAAGCCCCATGTCTATAGCCCCCCTGGTTCGCCTTCTACGGGCCCGTGAAACCGCCACTTTCTTGACCGAGAATAGGCGCTCGTGAGCGGACACGGCCGCGCTGTCCCCCGCTGATTTTCAGACCGACGTAACATTCCCGTCTCTTGTCCCCCGTGCGTGAAACTCACAGGGGTCGTAGGCCAGGCCGAGACGAGTCCCTGGGTCGAGACCGCGAGTCTCTGGGCCTCGGCGTTGATTTTTAACGAATTTCTGGAGGCTCTCCCTGTATTCCCAGACAAATACGCTTTTGGAGGAAAAAATATGACAAAGTGTCTTGTGAGCTCAAGTGCCTTTTGCGCAGACCGTAACTTTTTTGTCTTTCATTTCCTATGAGTGAAATTCACGGAGGATGTAGCCCAGGTCCGGAGGAGTGCGTGGGTCCAAGCCCCATGTCTATAGCCCCCCTGGTTCGCCTTCTACGGGCCCGGGAAAGCACCCTTTTCTTGACCGAGAATAGGCGCTCGTGAGCGGCCGCGGCCGCGCTGTCCCCCGCTGATTTCAGACCGCCGTAACATTACCGTCTCTTGTCCCCCGTGCGTGAAACTCACAGGGGTCGTAGGCCAGGCCGAGACGAGTCCCTGGGTCGAGACAGCGAGTCTCTGGGCCTCGGCGTTGATTTTTAACGAATTTCTGGAGGCTCTCCCTGTATTCCCAGACAAACACGCTTTTGTGAGCTCAAGTGCCTTTTGCGCAGGCCGTAACTTTTTTGTCTTTCATTTCCTATGAGTGAAATTCACGGAGGATGTAGCCCAGGTCCGGAGGAGTGCGTGGGTCCAAGCCCCATGTCTATAGCCCCCCTGGTTCGCCTTCTACGGGCCCGGAAAGCACCCTTTTCTTGACCGAGAATAGGCGCTCGTGAGCGGCCGCGGCCGCGCTGTCCCCCGCTGATTTCAGACCGCCGTAACATTACCGTCTCTTGTCCCCCGTGCGTGAAACTCACAGGGGTCGTAGGCCAGGCCGAGACGAGTCCCTGGGTCGAGACCGCGAGTCTCTGGGCCTCGGCGTTGATTTTTAACAATTTCTGGAGGCTCTCCCTGTATTCCCAGACAAACACGCTTTTGTGAGCTCAAGTGCCTTTTGCGCAGGCCGTAACTTTTTTGTCTTTCATTTCCTATGAGTGAAATTCACGGAGGATGTAGCCCAGGTCCGGAGGAGTGCGTGGGTCCAAGCCCCATGTCTATAGCCCCCCTGGTTCGCCTTCTACGGGCCCGGGAAAGCACCCTTTTCTTGACCGAGAATAGGCGCTCGTGAGCGGCCGCGGCCGCGCTGTCCCCCGCTGATTTCAGACCGCCGTAACATTACCGTCTCTTGTGCCCCGTGCGTGAAACTCACAGGGGTCGTAGGCCAGGCCGAGACGAGTCCCTGGGTCGAGACCGCGAGTCTCTGGGCCTCGGCGTTGATTTTTAACGAATTTCTGGAGGCTCTCCCTGTATTCCCAGACAAACACGCTTTTGTGAGCTCAAGTGCCTTTTGCGCAGGCCGTAACTTTTTTGTCTTTCATTTCCTATGATTGAAATTCACGGAGGATGTAGCCCAGGTCCGGAGGAGTGCGTGGGTCCAAGCCCCATGTCTATAGCCCCCCTGGTTCGCCTTCTACGGGCCCGGGAAAGCACCCTTTTCTTGACCGAGAATAGGCGCTCGTGAGCGGCCGCGGCCGCGCTGTCCCCCGCTGATTTCAGACCGCCGTAACATTACCGTCTCTTGTCCCCCGTGCGTGAAACTCACAGGGGTCGTAGGCCAGGCCGAGACGAGTCCCTGGGTCGAGACCGCGAGTCTCTGGGCCTCGGCGTTGATTTTTAACGAATTTCTGGAGGCTCTCCCTGTATTCCCAGACAAATACGCTTTTGGAGGAAAAAATATGACAAAGTGTCTCGTCTTTGAAGACAAGCAGCTTGTTATTGGTTCAACAAATCTGTACACAAACATAATAATGTTATAGAGATAAAAACTTATTTTTTCTGTAAATAAAATACCAGACCAGAGAGGTGGGGACCAGAGAGAGACCAGACTGAGAACAGAGAGATACTAGAGAGAGACCAGAGAGAGACCTGTGGTAAAGGAGCTTACCAGTGATGTAAAGGTCTGATATTACAAGTTTCCTTCAGGTGAAAAGTAAAGTTACTTTGATTGAACACAAAAATATTAAGACTGAGACCAGAGAGAGCTGACTCATTGTGGCCCTGTGTTTTAGTATTAAAGATTGTACAGCATTGTATGGCTTGTAAATAAATGCAGACTTCAGGAGTTTAAGTGTATTTTCTGTGGGTCCAGCTCTGCAGCGTCCTGCTGTCAGAACAATAGGCGTCACACCTTGGATGCAGAGGGGGAAGGGGTCTGCAAAGTGGCCTCTTAGAGATGTTATAGATTGATGGACTAGACTTACTGCTATTATATAACATATTTGTTAGACCAGAGACCAGACTGAGACCTGAGAGACTAGACAGAGCTGACTCATTGTGACCCTGTGTTTTAGTATTAAAGATTGTACAGCTATGGCTTGTAAATAAATGCTGAGTTCAGGAGTATAAGTGAAATAGTCATTTCTTATCTCTAAATAAACAGACCAGGGAGAGACCATAATCACACATGGTTCTGTCATGAGTGAAGGAGGATCCAGATAAAATGTTTAAACAAAAATGATTTATTTCAGAATATGAAAGTCCAGGATTAAAACATGTTTACAATCCAAACAAAATCAGGTCCATTGTCTTTGTGTGAGTAGTTTCTCCGCGATGATTCAGATTGTAGAAGTTGTAGATTTGGATATAAGAGAAGAGAAAACACATTTTAGTCTTCATATAACTTCAAACAATTTATATACATATATACACTTTATTTACATTGTGGCCCGTCTTGTCTTGATTTCTGCTTTTGTCCGACTCACACAGCATAAGAGAAGACAAGAAGGACATTTTTAGAGATACATAAATACATAACACCTAATAATTACATGTTTAACAACAATTTATATACATATATACACTTTATTTACCTTGCGGCCCGTCTTGTCTTGATTTCTGCTTTTGTCCGACTCACACAGCATAAGAGAAGAGACAAGAAGGACATTTTTAGAGATACATAAATACATAACACCTAATAATTACACGTTTAACCATGGTTGTACCTTTTACACGTTTAACACGTTTAACCATGGTTGTACCTGCACTGAGTAAAAGCAATTTAAACAAGAATAAAGCAGGAGAAAAATCAGAAGAGGACTTTTTCATGCAGAGAGAGGAAAACAGACACTTGACACTTCACCGGGTCTGGGACGTGTCATCGTGTCTGTAAGAAGAGCAGGACCTCATCCTCTGAAATAGTCCTGGTTGCAAGGAAAAGAGTCACACTTTTTAGCTTTTTGGGCTGCTTATATATATATAATATATATAATATATATGGTTCTAGTCCATGTAGATTACAGTGTATTTGTAGGGACAGGGGGAGGGACATCCCCCTGGTCCTGGCTTGGGGGTCTCAGACCAGGACCCTGTCCGGGGGGTTCTTGCTCATCTAAGTTTTCGCTTTTCAGCTGGTCGTGGCACTACAGAGGGGTCTTTTAGGCAGTAGCAAAACGACAGGGTCATTGACTTTGGGAGGAGCTTTAACCATTGTAACATTGCTGGTGGTCTCAAGCTTGATCTTTGGCGCGGCAGAGGGAGGGACACTTTTTAGCTTTTTGGGCTGCATATATTATATATATATATATATATATGCTTACAAATGCTTTAACCTGAAAACAGGGCATGCAGACTCTCACTCAGTCTCGCTCTTCTCTCCTTTGACCAGAAGTATCTTTCCACTGGACGGGACAGGGTCTTTAGGCTTGTTCTTTTTCTCCTTGTCAAGCAGCTCAAGGCCATCATTGATTTTCTTGAGCATTTCAAAACGCTCACAGCACTTAACCTGAAAGATTAACACCTTGTCATCCTCGTCTCCGCTTGAGGCAGATTTTGATCTTTTGAGAGGAGGAACATCTGGGACACTTTTTAGGATGCTTATATATATATATATATATATATATATATATAGTTTAAAGCAACAGTTTTTAGAGAGGGACCAGACAGAGAGCAGACTGACCAGAGAGAGCTGACTCATTGTTTTAGTATTAAAGATTGCATTTATTTACAAGTACAGAGTTCAGGAGTTTAAGTGTATTTTCCCTGTGCCCAGCTCTGCAGCGTCCTGCTGTGAAACAATAGGTCAGAACAATAGAAGTCACACCTTGGAATGCTGATGGGGGAAGGGGTCTGCAAAGTGGCCTTAGACTGAGAGATGTTATAGATCAACTGTTATGACCGGTCTATCTCAGGATTAGATTTATTATCTGCAGCTCACATTATGAACAAATAATATTATTGGAAATAAACATTTCCTCTGTCTCTGTAAATAAACTGCCACAAGTGTTTGAGGCCTGACTCAGTGACATGAGATTCATTTATGGACTAGACTTACTGCTATTATATAACATATTTGTTAGACCAGAGACCAGACTGAGACCTGAGAGAGACTAGACTGACCAGAGAGACCAGACAGAGCTGACTCACAGTGACCCTGTGTTTTAGTATTAAAGATTGTACAATAAATGCTGAGTTCAGGAGTATAAGTGAAATAGTCATTTCTTATCTCTAAATAAACAGACCAGGGAGAGACCATAATCACACATGGTTCTGTCATGAGTATAAGTGAAGGAGGATCCAGATAAAATGTTTAAACAAAAATAATGATTTATTTCAGAATATGAAAGTCCAGGATTAAAACATGTTTACAATCCAAACAAAATCAGGTCCATTGTCTTTGTGTGAGTAGTTTCTCAGCAATGATTCAGATTGTAGAAGTTGTAGATTTGGATAAAGAAGCCTGGGAAGTCTCACTGCCTGGCCTGGCCTGGCCTGGCCTGCATTAATGCCTCACCAGATGACCTTAGACATCGGACATGGAGTGGCATTAAATTCTATGTCAAAAATAGAATCCCTAGGAATAGGAATAGAATTCCTTTAAAAGAGTTGTTTGGTTTCTATTGACTGTTTTGTACTACTTAAAGTAGTCCCAGTAAAAAAGATTATGTCTATGGGTCCCATTCTGAACGGCCCTGTCAAAGGGACCCACCAGGTAACAAAAACGCGTGTGTGTGTGTGTGGAGCTACACGCACACACACACACAGGGACACTTGAGTCTGAAGAACAGGAGTCCTGCCTACTCTCTTACGTCTCTCTTTGTCCAAAGTGCCTCCATCACTTTGCTGTGGTTTTATTGTTAGTGATTATCTTTTCAATGATGTTAAGATTCAGCTCAAAGACTTAGAAAAAGTTGGTTTTGTGGCAATTTGACTTTTATAAGATAATTAATGTATGTGATTTGTTTTATAACGCTTTATGACTAAATATAATCAAGTATATACCATTTATCAATATAGACTAAAGGCTCAATCCTCTACTGCCAAATAAATTCCTAAATCTACTTTAATTCACCATGGTTTATGCTGTAGCTAGTTAGCGCCTGTATCCACGACAGTCTGTGCTGTTCACTAAAAGCTGTCTAACCGAGGAGGCACGTCTGCAGGGTGTTATTGGATATCATACTGATTTTTCCTCTGGCAAAAGTCACTTTTCTCCAGGCCCGCCCTATTCAAAACAGTCCTGATAAGGACTGACCAATCAGAGGCCTTCATTCGCGGGGAAAACTTCAGCTTGCCTTAGCAACCATCTTAGCAACACATCTGCCCCTTATATACCCAAATAAGGAAGCAGGCTTCAGCTAGCTTATGTTCAAATTCTGCATTCGGCTAACGCTGTGGTGATGTCACAATCCTAACACACGCGGGACTTTGTGGAGTGGGTGTAACGGGAGCGCAGCCGTGAAGGCGCTGATGTCACGGATGGGCGTGGCCTGCTGTAACCAAGGCAACGGCAGCGGGAGGAAGTGAAGCTCGATGGCGTCGTCATGCAAATAACTCACAGCGCCCCCTCCTGGAGAGTCGCCCTCCTGCTCGCCAAAGCCCACCACCTGGAAAGGAGTAGTTGTAACCATGGTAACAGCAGTAGCAGTAGTAGTAGCAGTAGTCTCACGTGAACACTGAGTTTGCGGCCGTGGTTGACGATTTCTCTGAAGCAGGACACAAGATCGTTTTGAGAAAAGCTCAGCAGCGCCCTCACCTGGACACAGGACAGAACCGAGTACTGCAAATAATGTAGCAGTAGCAGCAGAAGCAACAGTAGCAGCAGCAATAGCAGTCGCAATAGCAGTCGCAGCAGCAGCAGCAGCAGCAGCAGCAGTAGCAGCAGAAGCAACAGTAGCAGCAGCAATAGCAGTCGCAGCAGCAGCAGCAGCAGTAGCAGTAGCAGCACCAGTAGCAGCAGCAGCAGTAGCAGCAGCAGCAGCAGCAGCAGCAGCAGCAGCAGCAGCAGCAGCAGCAGCAGTAGCAGTAGCAGCAGCAGCAGTAGCAGCAGCAGTAGCAGCAGCAGCAGCAGCAGCAGCAGTAGCAGTAGCAGCAGCAGCAGTAGCAGCAGCAGCAGCAGCAGCAGTAGCAGTAGCAGCACCAGTAGTAGCAGTAGCAGTAGCAGCAGTAGCAGCAGCAGCAGCAGCAGCAGTAGCAGCAGCAGCCGCAGTAGCAGTAGCAGCAGCAGCAGCAGTAGCAGCAGCAGCAGCAGCAGCCGCAGTAGCAGCAGCAGCAGCAGCAGCAGCAGCAGCAGCAGCAGCAGCAGCAGCAGCAGCAGCAGCAGTAGCAGCAGCAGCAGCAGCAGCAGCAGCAGCAGCAGCAGTAGCAGCAGCAGCAGCAGCAGCAGCAGTAGCAGTAGCAGTAGCAGTATTACCTCTTCCTCCTTCCTGTCGAACACATATTCCTGTTTGAGGATTTCCCTCCAGTTGTGGTTGACTTCTTCTCCTAAGTTAGTGTCCTCCGCCGACTTCAACTGAACCAGGGCCTCCACATGAGAGCGGAACAGAACCGCTCCTAACGAGGACACCAGGGCCCCGCAGGAGTCCAGGAAGGCTGCGATCTTAGACTCCACCCACTCTGAGCTGAGGGAGGAGAGAAATGACAGACTCCACCCACTCTGAGCTGAGAGGAGAGACAGACTCCTCCCACTCTGAGCTGAGAGGAAACACAGGCTCCTCCCACTCTGAGCTGAGAGGAAACACAGGCTCCTCCCACTCTGAGCTGAGAGGAGAGACAGGCTCCTCCCACTCTGAGCTGAGAGGAAACACAGGCTCCTCCCACTCTGAGCTGAGAGGAGAGACAGACTCCTCCCACTCTGAGCTGAGAGGAAACACAGGCTCCTCCCACTCTGAGCTGAGAGGAGAGACAGACTCCTCCCACTCTGAGCTGAGAGGAGAGACAGGCTCCTCCCACTCTGAGCTGAGAGGAAACACAGGCTCCTCCCACTCTGAGCTGAGAGGAGAGACAGGCTCCTCCCACTCTGAGCTGAGAGGAGAGACAGGCTCCTCCCACTCTGAGCTGAGAGGAGAGACAGGCTCCTCCCACTCTGAGCTGAGAGGAGAGACAGGCTCCTCCCACTCTGAGCTGAGAGGAGAGACAGGCTCCTCCCACTCTGAGCTGAGAGGAGAGACAGGCTCCTCCCACTCTGAGCTGAGAGGAGAGACAGGCTCCGCCCACTCTGAGCTGAGAGACAGGCTCCTCCCACTCTGAGCTGAGAGGAGAGACAGACTCCTCCCACTCCCAGAGAGAGTGGAGGTTTTCTCACCAGCAGAGAGTGATGTCACAGTGGGAGGGGCTTCTGACCTGAACTTGGTGGCCTGCGTTTCCACGGTGATCGTAAAGCCCAGGACGCCCGAGGTGTTTCTCCAACACGAGGAGACGCTGTACCTGAGGAGAGGAGGAGAGAGTGGAGAGAGGAAGGAGAGGAAGAGAGAGAGGAACCCCGTGAGTCACTATCTGACTCTTTGGGCTGAAAGCTGTTTGTGGTCCGCGGTCCGCAGTTTGGACACCCCTGTCACACATGTTCAGACTCACCCCAGAGTCTCTTTGGTCCTCAGGAAGTCAAAACACGGCTCCTCCATCACATCCTGTGGACAGAGGAGAGAGGAGGAGAGGGTGAGAGGGGAGAGGAGAGAGGAGAGGGGAGAGAGGAGAAAGAAAGGAGGAGAGGGGAGGGAGAGAATGAAAGGAGGAGAGGGGAGGGAGAGAAAGGAGGAGAGGGGAGAGGAGAGAGGAGGAGAGAGGAGAGGAGAGAGAATGGGGAGAGGAGAGAGGAGGAGAGAGGAGAGGAGAGAGAATGGGGAGAGGAGAGATAAAGGAGGAGAGGGGAGAAAGAGAAAGGAGGAGAGAGGAGCAGAGGGGAGAAGGGAGAGGAGAGAGGGGAGGGGAGAGCGGAAAGCGGAGAGATGAGAAGAGGGGAGAGAGGACAGGGGAGAGGAGAAAAGAGAGAGGGGAGGGGACAGAGGAGAGGGGAGAAAGGGGAGCAGAGAAAGGAGAGGGGAGAAGAGAGGAGGGAGGAGAGAAGGGAGAAGAGAGGAGGAGAGGAGGGGAGAGGAAGAGAGGGGAGACAGGGGAGGAGAGAGCAAACTGTCTCATTATTTTCTGTATTTCAGAGTCTGTGGTGACAATATTCAAAAACACACGTTGGACCCTCTCCTTCCCCCCCTCTCCTCTCTCCTTCCCTCGCTCTCCTCTCTCCTTCCCCCCCTCTCCTCTCTCCTTCCCCCCCTCTCCTCTCTCCTTCCCCCCCTCTCCTCTCCTTCCCTCGCTCTCCTCTCTCCTTCCCCCCCTCCTCCTCTCTCCTTCTCACTCTCCCCTCTCCTTCCCTCTCTCTCCTCTCTCCTTCCCTCGCTCTCCTCTCTCCTTCCCTCGCTCTCCTCTCTCCTTCCCCCCCCCCTCTCTCCTCTCCTTCCCTCGCTCTCCTCTCTCCTTCCCTCGCTCTCCTCTCTCCTTCCCCCCCTCTCCTCTCTCCTTCTCACTCTCCCCTCTCCTTCCCTCGCTCTCCTCTCTCCTTCCCCCCCCTCTCCTCTCTCCTTCTCACTCTCCCCTCTCCTTCCCTCTCTCTCCTCTCTCCTTCCCCCCCACTCCTCTCTCCTTCCCTCGCTCTCCTCTCTCCTTCCCTCGCTCTCCTCTCTCCCTTCCCCCCCTCTCCTCTCTCTCTTCTCACTCTCCCCTCTCTCTCCTCCCCTCGCTCTCTCCTCTCTCCTTCCCCCCCTCTCCTCTCTCCTTCTCACTCTCCCCTCTCCTTCCCTCTCTCTCCTCTCTCCTTCCCCCCCTCTCCTCTCTCCTTCTCACTCTCCCCTCTCCTTCCCTCTCTCTCCTCTCTCTCCCCCCCTCTCCCTCTCTTCCTCCCTCCTCTCTCTCTCCTTCCCCCCCTCTCCTCTCTCCTTCCCTCGCTCTCTCCTCTCTCCTTCCCCCCCTCTCCTCTCTCTCCTTCTCACTCTCCCCTCTCCTCCTCTCTCTCCTCTCTCCTTCCCCCCCTCTCCTCTCTCCTTCTCACTCTCCCCTCTCCTTCCCTCTCTCTCCTCTCTCCTTCCCCCCCTCTCCTCTCTCCTTCTCACTCTCCCCTCTCCTTCCCTCTCTCTCCTCTCTCCTTCCCCCCCTCTCCTCTCTCCTTCCCTCGCTCTCCTCTCTCCTTCCCCCCCTCTCCTCTCTCCTTCTCACTCTCCCCTCTCCTTCCCTCGCTCTCCTCTCTCCTTCCCCCCCCTCCTCTCTCCTTCTCACTCTCCCCTCTCCTTCCCTCTCTCTCCTCTCTCCTTCCCCCCCTCTCCTCTCTCCTTCTCACTCTCCCCTCTCCTTCCCTCGCTCTCCTCTCTCCTTCCCCCCCTCTCCTCTCTCCTTCCCTCGCTCTCCTCTCTCCTTCCCCCCCCTCTCCTCTCTCCTTCCCTCGCTCTCCTCTCTCCTTCCCCCCCTCTCCTCTCTCCTTCTCACTCTCCCCCCTCTCCTTCCCCCCCTCTCCTCTCTCCTTCCCTCGCTCTCCTCTCTCCTTCCCCCCCACTCCTCTCTCCTTCTCACTCTCCCCTCTCCTTCCCTCTCTCTCCTCTCTCCTTCCCCCCCTCTCCTCTCTCCCTTCCCTCGCTCTCCTCTCTCCTTCCCCCCCTCTCCTCTCTCCTTCTCACTCTCCCCTCTCCTTCCCTCGCTCTCCTCTCTCCTTCCCCCCCACTCCTCTCTCCTTCTCACTCTCCCCTCTCCTTCCCTCTCTCTCCTCTCTCCTTCCCCCCCTCTCCTCTCTCCTTCTCACTCTCCCCTCTCCTTCCCTCGCTCTCCTCTCTCCTTCCCCCCCTCTCCTCTCTCCTTCCCTCGCTCTCCTCTCTCCTTCCCCCCCTCTCCTCTCTCCTTCCCTCGCTCTCCTCTCTCCTTCCCCCCCTCTCTCTCTCTCCTTCTCACTCTCCCCTCTCCTTCCCTCGCTCTCCTCTCTCCTTCCCCCCCACTCCTCTCTCCTTCTCACTCTCCCCTCTCCTTCCCTCGCTCTCCTCTCTCCTTCCCCCCCTCTCCTCTCTCCTTCCCTCGCTCTCCTCTCTCCTTCCCCCCCTCTCCTCTCTCCTTCTCACTCTCCCCTCTCCTTCCCTCGCTCTCCTCTCTCCTTCCCCCCCTCTCCTCTCTCCTTCCCTCTCTCTCCTCTCTCCTTCCCCCCCCTCCTCTCTCCTTCCCTCTCTCTCCTCTCTCCTTCCCCCCCTCTCCTCTCTCCTTCTCACTCTCCTCTCTCCTTCCCCCCATCTCCTCTCTCCTTCCCCCCCTCTCCTCTCTCCTTCCCTCGCTCTCCTCTCTCCTTCCCTCTCTCTCCTCTCTCCTTCCCCCCCTCTCCTCTCTCCTTCTCACTCTCCCCTCTCTCCTTCTCACTCTCCCCTCTCTCCTTCTCACTCTCCCCTCTCCTTCCCTCGCTCTCCTCTCTCCTTCCCCCCCTCTCCTCTCTCCTTCTCACTCTCCCCTCCAGAATATATGCATGTGTTAAAATCCCATGATCTGAAATGTCTCCACTGTGAGACAGATAAAGGAAAATCTAATCTGATCTAAAGCGACTCCACGAACACATCGTAAACACATCGTAAACAAGCATCACAACAAAGTGCAGACACAGCAGCAGGTCGCAGCAGGTCGCAGCAGAGGTGAGGGTGAAGAGGTGCCTCCTGCTGTGTCTGAGTTCATGTTGAGTGCAGATGTTTTCTCACCAGCAGCAGTTGGAGGAGCGCCCTCTGCTGGAGACTCTTCAGGCCCCACTGGAAACACAACAAGCTGAAAACACAGACACTCAGCCCTGGTTCAGACCTGGCTCAGTCCTGGTTCAGTCCTTGCTCAGTCCTGGTTCAGACCTGGCTCAGTCCTGGTTCAGTCCTTGCTCAGACCTGGTTCAGTCCTTGCTCAGACCTGGTTCAGACCTGGTTCAGTCCTGGTTCAGTCCTGGTTCAGTCCTGGTTCAGTCCTTGCTCAGACCTGGTTCAGACCTGGTTCAGTTCTAGTTCAGTCTTGGTTCAGTCCTTGCTCAGACCTGGTTCAGACCTGGTTCAGTCCTGGTTCAGTCCTGGTTCAGTCTTGGTTCAGTCCTGGTTCAGTCTTGGTTCAGTCCTGGTTCAGTCTTTGTTCAGACCTGGTTCAGTCTTGGTTCAGTCCTTGCTCAGACCTGGTTCAGTCCTGGCTCAGACCTGGTTCAGACCAGGCTCAGACCGGGTTTACCTGGTAGTACACGGTGACCACAGTGTTGTTGTTTTCTGGATTCACAGACTTCACTTTACAAACGTGATGTTTCTGCGGCAGCTTCACCACCGGGAGCAGAACAGAGACCCCTGCTGGTGGAGGCTGGAACTGCAGCTCACTATACACAGGGAGAAACAGAGACCTCTGCTGGTAAAGGCTGGGACTGCAGACACTACACACAGGTACAGAGACCTCTGCTGGTGGAGGCTAGAAATGCAGCTCACTATACACAGGGAGAAACAGAGACCTCTGCTGGTAAAGGCTGGAACTGCAGCTCACTATACACATGTACAGAGACCCCTGCTGGTGGAGGCTGGAACTGCAGCTCACTATACACGGAGAAACCGAGACCTCTGCTGGTAAAGGTTGGGACTGCAGACACTACACACAGGTACAGAGACCTCTGCTGGTGAAGGCTGGGACTGCAGTGCTCTGATTAAAAGGCTATGAGGGAAACTGTGTCCTCCTAAAAACACAGGATCATTCGATACTGAGTGTGTGACATAAATGAGTAAACACCCAACAATAAATGTAGAGTGTGGAAACTGAAGCAACATAATGTGGAGGTTTACTGCAGAGTTCACAACAGCCTCAATCATCACTCACTCGATAAAGTACTGCAGGAACTCCTCTGCCTCCTGTGGACACACAAGCGACTTGTATAGTCAAATACATAATATAATAATATATATACAATACATACAAGTCTAATCTGTATATTAGTATCTTACATCAGTATCTTACACCACAAGCCTAAGCTGCGGAGCGTAACTTTCAGACCACAACAACAGAACCCCATAAATAATCCATGTCCCAAGTTCCTGGATCTAAAACAGTTTGATTCTGTCATTAGTTTTCACATCATGTGCTTTTGGGGGACACCAGAGACAGACCAGAAGGAGACCAGAAAGAGACCAGAAAGAGACCAGAAAGAGACCAGAAAGAGACCAGAGAGAGACCAGAGAGAGACCAGAAAGAGACCAGAAAGAGACCAGAAAGAGACCAGAAAGAGACCAGAGAGAGACCAGAAAGAGACCAGAAAGAGACCAGAGAGAGACCAGAAAGAGACCAGAAAGATACCAGAAAGAGACCAGAGAGAGACCAGAGAGACCAGAGAGAGAAACCAAGGAGAGATTCCAGAGAGAGACCAGAGAAAGACATGAGAGCCAATCAGCCCAAATGATCAAATAGTGACTAACAAGGCTCTTTTTGAAAACAGATGTTTTCTACTGAGGTGAAGGAGCCTGTTGTGGTCTGAGTGTTTTCTACTGAGGTGAAGGAGCCTGTTGTGGTCTGAGTGTTTTCTACTGAGGTGAAGGAGCCTGTTGTGGTCTGAGTTGTTACCGTTGCGCTGGCGTTCCCCTGAACCAGTCCCTCCACAAACAGCTGCTGTTTGAACTCAGAGACAAAGTCCAAGAGTCGATCCAAGTCCAGACCCTGGACCAGGACCCGCTGTTTGTCCAGGACCGACCAGCGGGAGGGAGCAATGATCCGCAGGCGAATGTCCCTGAGAGAAGAAATCCACACGATTACATTTCAAAACCAGACCTAACACCAGTGAAATATCAATGGTGCAACATTTAACTTGTATAAATATGTTCTGTATGTTGAATATAATTCACACCACTACTTGCACAAATGAAATGTTTGACATTAGTTTTTGTATTGATTAATTCATTATCCATATTTGAGAGCATACACACTGATAGAGGGGGTTCCACAAGGGTCGTCCCTTGGCCCAGAGCTGTTCTCATCTCTTTTGAAGCAGGGGTCTCCAACCTTTTTGATCAGAGAGCTCAGCTTCTTAAATCATTTGTTAAAATAGACATAATGACTCAAAAGTGAGTCTTTCAAGATCATGTGTTAAATTCTTGAATCGTTCCTAACCCTAACTCTAGCTGAAAGCAGGTGGCGAGCTACTGGTAGCTACTGAGCCAGAGGTCAGAGACCCCTGCTTTAAAGACATCAACCACAAACTTGACTCTGCTTTTAAACGAGGTATTAGAAACAGGACAGAAACATAGATGATGATAGTGGATCGAGAGATGGAGAGACTTTCTATCTGAAGAATCACTGGGTCCAGGCTTGTAACCCGGGTTAAGGTCTTAGGGTTAGTGTGACCGGGTCAGTATTCTCACCGGTTGAGGTTGGCCGGGCTGATGATGTGGTTGAAGTAAACCTTTTTCAGTTGCTCGGAGAAAACTCCAAAAAGCTCTGCATTAGAGCTGAAGTTGGCCAAGTGTCTCACCAGCAGCTTCAGCAGCAGCTGAGGAGAGCAGGGCAGATCAACAACAACAACAACAACAGCAACAACAACAGAGCTGCTAAAACCAGGACGGAGGGCGGTCTCTGTCCTGGTTCTACAGAACCTCAGTCCTGATCTCTCTCAATTCTTCTTTGCCGATGCAGGAGGGTCTAAGGACAGTGAAGACCCAGGACATATGCACATTTCTGGACAGGGGTCATAAGACAAGATAAGATAAAACTGCATTGATCTTACGATGGAGAAAACATTTGGTACATTCACTCAGGGTGGGCAAAAAGACAGGAGATGTGCAAATATGTTCAAGAACTGAAAAGATATAGAGTAACTTCTGTGCAATAAAGGTATTTTTGTTTAATTTAAACAGTGACAATAGCACTGAGAGTTTACAGTCCTATTTTAGGTCATTAAGTGACTTATTGTACAGTCTGATAACTCCATCATCTTCTTGGATCAGACTCACCGGCAGGTGGTGGTTGAATCCCTCCAGACTGATCACCAGACCGTGTTCCGTCGGCGTCACTCTGTGTGAGATCATCGCCATGTTCGCTGCAAACGCCTCCTCCGCCACGTTATGGGTCAGGATGGACACCAAGAGGTCACAGAGCACCACACTGAAACAGAGGGTTACAAAGAGGTAACACACACAGGTGCCCAGACACACACACACACAGGTCACGAGACAGTCACACACAAGTCCCCAAACGGTCATACACACACACACACAGGTCCCCAGACAGTCACACACACAGGTCCCCAAACGGTCATACACACACACACACAGGTCCCCAGACAGTCACACACGCAGGTTCCCAGACAGTCATACACACACACACACAGGTCCCCAGACAGTCACACACACAGGTCCCCAGACAGTCATACACACACACAGGTCCCCAGACAGTCACACACACAGTAGTCGGATGATACGTGTTGAGGTTGGTACTTTTCTGCAGAGCTCTGGATCAGGGGAGAGATCAGATGGAAGAACACATGAGCTGAAAACACAAGACAACGCCACATGAGAGCTGATCAACATTCAGGACAGGTTCTGGTCTACATGAGTCTGGTCCAGTCTGGTCCACCTGGGTCTGACCTTTGGGGACCTTGAAGGTGTGGTCCTTCTTGTACCACAGCGCCCCCCTCTGGTGCTTCACGATCTGAACGGGAAACTTCGAAAGAGGACGATCAGGGACTCGGAGGCTGAAGTCTGAGGCTGTGGAGAGAGAGCGAGAAAGGAGGAGAGAGGAGAGGAGGGAGAGAGAGGAGGTGGAATGAGGAAGATGGAGAAGAGGAAAAGAGATGAGAGAGGAAAGAGGAGAGAGGAGGAGAGAAGAAAAGAGAGAGGAGAAAAGCGAGAGGAAAGAGGAGGTGACAGAGGAGAGGGAGAGGAGGAGAGAGAGGAGGAGAAGGAGAGGTCTGATCCTCATGGAGCTTGATGCAGAAGTTGTAACTCACCGATGAAGATGTTTGGTGGAGGGAGGTGCAGCTCAGGGTTCAGCTCCAGGTCTGAGGACCAGAGACGCTCCCACTCCTCTGGAACATCTGAGGAGGAGAGAGGAGGAGAGAGGAGGAGGTGGAGGGAGGAGGAGAGAGGAGGCAAGAGGAGGAAGAGGCAAGAGGAGAAGAGAGGAGGATGAGAGAGGAGACCAAATGAAAAAGGAGGAGAAAGGAGAGATAAGGGGAGAGGTCTCTGGTCTCGCTCTGGTGTCTCTCTGGTGTCTCTCTGGTGTCTCTCTGGTGTCTCTCTGGTGTCTCTCTGGTGTCTCTCTGGTCTCTCTCTGGTCTCTCTCTGGTCTCTCTCTGGTCTCTCTCTGGTCTCTCTCTGGTCTCTCTCTGGTCTCTCTCTGGTCTCTCTCTGGTCTCTCTCTGGTCTCTCTCTGGTCTCTCTCTGGTCTCTCTCTGGTCTCTCTCTCTGGTCTCTCTCTCTGGTCTCTCTCTGGTCTCTCTCTGGTCTCTCTCTGGTCTCTCTCTGGTCTCTCTCTGGTCTCTCTCTG